AAATATGATCAAATGAATACCTACTAAGATTCCATGCACGTAAAAGCGGCAACAACTAAAACATAATTTAACAAGGGGCTGACTGGTTCTAATTCTGGGCTTTAGGGAGAATTTTAGAAGAGCACAAAAATCACAATGGTCTTACAAGAGTAGTCACATTTAAAACAAAAAACAGAAATTACATCGCTTATATTTCTATCTGTGAAAACTTCAAACATTGAATCACCTAGAGCAGTATCAAAACAGGATACGGCTGAAGTTAACACAAGGCCGTTATCAAAACGCAGCCTTACTCTGTTACATAATAACAACGCAGAAAGCACAAACGCACCTCTACACCAAAACTTACATTACCTAGAAATGTACCTAACATCTGTCCATAACAGCGATGCTAACAATAATAGAACATCTAGCAAACGCCTGATCTTACATAAGTTATCACAAGTAAGTAAGCGAACAAAGTTTACTATTAACTTAACTTCGATTCCTATAAGGCCACCAATAGAAGAACAAACTAAACGTCAAAAATCTCCAGGCAGAAGAAGACTAATTCACCGATGAAAATAGTTGATTCACTTTTGCTTACATCGATAGTCCTACTTAAGATTTCATTACTACATTCTTTCACTCCGTTTAAAAATAATTCAGGAGTGTATTTTGAAGGCATAAGAGAAGTGCCTTTAATTGACGAAGAGTGGCAGTTCGTCGTCTATTAGGAGTTGATCTCTAATCACCAAAATTTCAGAGATCTCCAAAGAATATCCTTTAACTAATTGCTCATCTTTGTTTAAACCTAGTTAATGCCAGGTACTAAACGAACTTATTTCTAAGCGGGTTTCATCGTTACAACAAAAAAACGAACTTCTTCAATATAAAACTGGTGATGGATCGCTATCAGAACGAGTACGTCGATCGCCATTCGATTTTGTTGCAAAACTGTAAATATTTTTTTGATATCCTAGACCAAGATACAGTTAAGGAATAAGAAAAACAAATTAATGATGCAAAATTAAGTAGCCATACCGCACAGGGCTTGCTAAAAAATTATACTTCAATACTAGAAACCACATTCGATTTAGTGAAACTATCTGAGGAAAGATTTAGAGAATTAGTATTCAGAGTGATACAGAATTTGAACACTCTCTTGTCGCTGCCACTATTTCAGTTATCAGTTATCCCTGCACTATTTCAAGAGTAAAACTTAATCTCAGATGCTATGACCTCAATACAACAATTGCTAAGCCATCACATTATAATCTCTCCAAAAGTTTTAAGAAAACAATTTTCCATCATGAGAAGTCATATTCGGCTTGGTAGCTATATTCCCGAAATCAAAAATACACAGACAAAACGGGGTCGAATAACATCATGTCGCTTCATATTTAAATGCAAAACTGGGCTGTTACAAGCAGAATTACTTCAAATTCGTAATCCCTATACCAACACCTCATGAGAATGATTTTATAGTTATCAACGCATCACCGGAATTCATATTTTGCACGTTATCCCGATACCAACACTTCATGAGAATGATTTTATAGTTGTCAACCCATCATCGGAATACTACAAGTTAATTTAGCTCGTAACTCATATTATCCAATTAAGGAAACTGAGTTTAAAAACTGCCTATCCATTAACGTCAACAAATTTTATTGCCGGAAGTTGCGTCCTATATACAACGAAAAATCGAAGTTGCTCAATGTGAAGTTCAACTATTCCATCACGAGACATAATTAATTGAAAGTTGTACGATATCAAAAATAAATCGAAAATAAATATGCACTCATATCAAAACAAACAATAACCGGATTTACGTTATGGTCAAAAAAAGAACTTTCAATTTAATTTGTAACAAAAATACAATCAGTTTAATATTAGAGCAAGCAGGTATTAGTATTATTAAAGATACAAATAGGAAATTTTACATAAATGTATTTTAGTACTGGTTCGTATAGCTGCCATACAACTCCAAAAGCTAATTTTAAATATTCAGAAAAATAATAAAGTTAGATTCATGAGACTTGACAGTATATGGGTCCTATTATACACCAGACATATCCGCGAAGTTTTCATGGATGAAGGTTCTGTAATTGCCTGACAGGTTCGAGTAATTGCCATACAGCCATCAAAGCTAATTCTAAATATTTCAAAACAAATTTTTATACTCAATTTTAAAGTTGTAATTCAGGTATAATTCAGTCGGTTTAGACATAAAATAGCAACATAAAATCGGAGTTTCTAAGTCATTTGCTAAGATACTATTTATCTCAAAAAAAAAAAAAGATACTCGAATCCGGTCATAAAAATATATTATTGTCTTTTCCAAAACCTTTTAAATATTTTTTTACTCTGGGAATATATTAAGATTTAAAAATTTTTCTCAAATAACAATAAAGGTAAAATTTTGAAGCGTATATAAAATTTTATTGGTAAAACAATATTTAATTGTATTTTAGATATTATTTTCTAATTAACTCTTCAAATTTTTTCTTTGAAATAAAACGTTGAAGGCGAAGGTTCTGCTTGTTGTTTTTCCGCTGTTTCATATGCATTTCATGAATTTTGAAATAATTATGAATGAAAATATTAATATTTATTTATTTATTTAACTCCATAAATTGACAAATTTTCTTATAACTATATACTATATTTACAGAGATACAGAAATTTGATTCTTTACAGCTGTTAATATTATTTATTTTTTCTTTTAATTTTAGAACTTAACTTATTACTTTATTAATTAAGGAAAATGGAGTGTATAAAAACCTTTTCTGAATCTAACTAAACTAAAACTATCTTACATACTATTTTATACATTGTTATTTAAAATAAATTTTTAATCAAAGGATTATTTGACATTTGTGTCTTGGTTATAAATTTGTCGGATATAGTTGTAATTTTATTTATAATGGTATCCATGCCAGCCTCGTGTAACATTTTTGTTGAAAAATAAAAATTAAGATTGAGCATTAATTTCACTATCTTATTTTGTGACACCTGTAGTTTTTGTATGTGAGTTGATGCACAATCATTCCATACCGGTGCTCCGTACAGAATAATAGGCTGAAAAACTGTTTTTAACAAAATTAATTTATTTTTTATAGAGAGCTGTGACGCTATTTTTTATAGAGTCAGATTTCCTGTTGATAAAAGGATATAATATTCGAAATATAATATTCGAATGTATTAGTTGACTTTATTTACAGTAGTAGATATATGGTTGGCAAAAGTTAACTTCTTATCGAAGTTAATACCAAGATACCTAACTGTATCGAGCCACTTTATTTCTTCATTATTTAGTTTTAACATTGTAGCTGGTAAGTAACAGGGTTTTCTTCTTCTTGTGAAAAAGATGGAGTTAGTTTTTGAAACATTAATTTTAATTTTCCTTTAGTAAAGTATTCAGATAGACAATTTAGTGCATTTTGCAAGTTATACAAAATTTGGTTGCAATCAGTGTCTGCACAATAAATCGCAGTATCGTCGGCGAAAATTGATAATATGGTGTTTCGAGTTAATGGCATACCAGAAGTATAGACGTTATATAATATGGGCCCTAGAACTGAGCCCTGGGGCACACCAGCCTCCATTTGATGATAGTCAGAGAATATACAATTTACAGAAACCCTAAACTTCCTTTCAAGAAGAAAACTTTGAATTATTTTAATTAAATACACAGGAAATCTATACATTTTAAGCTTATGCAGTGGCCCCCTATGCCACACCGTGTCAAATGCCAAATTAATGTCAAGAGTCACCCAGCCAACCGATTTTTTGTCCTGGAAATTTGCTTTAACATAATTACGGATAAAGACAAAAATTTACGGATATCAGTACCTACTGCCTGTCATTTTACAATCGGAGTTTTTGAGTTCACTTAAAAATAATGAAATGCTTTCAGTAACATATAAAACGTTGATGGCGAAGGTTGTGCTTGTTGTTTTTCCGCTTTTTTGCATGTATTTCAAGAATTTTAAAATTATTATGAATGAAAATATTAATATATTTAATTAATTTTTTAAATATATTTTTGAAATTTTATCTGCTTTATAATAAGTGTGAACTTATTTTAATATTTCTTCTCAAAAAATAGCCACTTCAATTTAAAAAAGATAATAAAGCGATATACATATACATTTTTAAGTGAGTCTTGTTTTTTTATAAAGGATAAAAAATAATTTTGGTTGAATCTTCCTTAGGAAAAATCAACCCTTTCATTTGATCAGTTGTCTTTCATTATTTATTCCAATGAAGAGAAATATTAACACTTTCCCTATAAAACTCTATTTATTCCTAAATTCAATCAGAACAAGTAAAAACGTTTCAGTCGTTAAAACGGTATAAACCGACCAAATTATATCTTGCACCTTAGTAATCTGAGTTTAAAATTTGTTTTTGAAATATCTAGAATAAGCTCCCATTGTTTATAGAAAGTATTCGAACCTGGCAAACCACTCAATAGAAAGTGCATGGATATGTCTGACCTATAATTGGACGTACAATTGCCAAGTATCATGAATATAATTTTATTATTTTCCCAAGTAATTAAAATTTACTTTTGGATATGTACGGCAGCTACCCGAACCAATGCTATTCCATTAAAATTTTTAGAACATAATGAAGAGTGTAATTAAACAAATCTTTGCAAATTTTTATATTAATATCTTTATTAGTTTTTGAAATATTTAAAAAATCACTTTGAGTTGCATGGCAACCACCCGAACCTGTCAAGCCATTTCACCAAAACTTATGGTGCGATCGGACAGGCGAACATGGCTAAATCAACACAGAATTTTACGCTGAACAAGAATATATATATATATGTCCATACCGGAGACGACTCCTTCAAGTAGTTACAAACTCCATTTGAAAAAACACAACATCAGAAAATTCAGAATGTTCGGGGGCATTCATCTAAGTTTACATATTTACAAAAATTATTTCGACTTCTTCTACAAGTGAAATATAGCTCATGAGTTAAGAAGAAAAAATTGCAAGAATCTGTTTTTACCATATTTTGTTTTTATTATTCAGTTTTGTAAAATTAAAATATTTCTCTTTAATATTTATTGTTTCAAATTTAATTTTTTTGCATATTTTGCAAAGTACATTTAATTTAAATAAAAAGAAAAAAAACTTATTCAATAATTCGCTCCAAGAACATTTAATCAAATTTTTGTTACAAATTTTATTAACAAGAATATTCCTACTTTGAAAATAATTATGTATTTGCAGATTTTTACAAAAAATTTTATTTTAATTGTTGCAATTGATACTGTTTCCGCTGATTCTTTTGTTGTTGCTGAAACTGCATTTGATGCTTTCTATGGTGATGATGATGATGATGACGATGATGGTGATAATGAGGTCGTAAAAACTCATATTGGTGATGTTTTTTATTCTTTTTATGCTAGTTTGTTTGTTTACTTTTCTTTTTACGTTTTTTCTTTTTGTCGGATTCATGTGTTGCTTGCTTTTTAGCGATACAAACGCGACAATACCAGTCTTCATTGTCATCAGGTGGTACTTGAATTCCAACACATACCCTATAAAAGAAACAATATTTAATAAAATTATAAAAATGTTGGAAGTTTAGTTTATGATTAGCACTTAAATGATTTTCGTAAATTAAACAGTAATGTAGATGTAGATAGAAAAAACCTAATAAATTCAAAACAAAAACCGCATTGTAGCGCAAAAAATTGATGAATCAGTGTTATTATTATTGTTCTTCAATCATATAGTGACTTTGCGAGCTTTGTATTCGCCTTGCGAGCCATACATTTTACTGTTTACTCCCTTCTGCATTATGATTAGGCATCATTTAGTTCGTTAGAATATATTTGAACTAAATGATGGCGCTTAAATATTAATAGTCGCTTATTACAAACACATACCATTTTTCTATTAAATTTAATGCTTGAACTGAGCTATTTTTAATTTTACCAAAATGTTAGTATTTCCTGATTGAAAGTGAGCTTTCTTTTTCGTAATAAATTTTTCAAATGAAAATACCTACAAAATTGGTAATATTTCAAAATTTATTCAAGAAGTTATAATATCATGGAATCAATTTTGCACATTTTCAATAATGATCTGATACAAAAATGTGTAATAATCAAATGAAGCAAGTTTGAAATTTCTAATTGTTCTGCTCGACATAGTTAGATTGTAAACAGAATTTTATTGCAATATAGAAAGGTTTAAATAATTTTCTTTGTTGGGGTTACCTATGTACGATAAAAATATAATGCATAATTTTTTTCCGACTTACCAATGATACCATGCATCACATCCATCACAACCAATCATAGGAGTACCATCATCGACTCTTCCACACGCTGGACAAATCCAAACTTGATTACCATCAGCGTCCTAGATTACGTATTTGTTCCATTTTATTTGCATTTTATACAAAAACAAACAAGCAAAATTATACTGATGTTAATTATAAAATAAATATAAAATTTAATATGTTCTGGCTCCATAAAAAATAATTTATAGATTAAAGTAATATAAAAATTATTGACATTGTATAATACATTATTTATTTATCAAAATCAAGAAAATCAAAAAAGACAAAATACATTTTAAAAATAAACATTTCACCTATTCCTCTCGTAAAACGATTTAAAAATTTAAAAAAAAATCATAAAATTTTCGTGTGCATTAAAATTTTCGGTTGTGTTTAGTTTCAAAGTCTTGGGACTTCCTCATTATCTTCCGCAGTTCTTTTCTCCCATAAACTGAACCTAACCGAAATGAATCATGCCTAAAAGATATTGTAAGCACTTTCAAAAATTATTTAATTGCGTTACCAATAATTGTAAATCACTAAAACATGTAAACAAGTAAAAAAATCGAGAGTTGGTAGTTTTGATGCAAGCACGAGTTGAATGATATTTAATATAACCGTGACTTCAATAATGCCTTATAAAAATTTTAAGTACGGTATTAATACGGTTGTAGTACCGTCTCAGAGCTTTCAAATAAGAAAAGCGTGCTCGATTTTTTCGATACCCGATTTACGTTTATTTTACGTATCCACCACGCGTAGAAAGCATTTTGGAAAAGTGTACAATGTCAAGAGCTTTTACTAAACTTTTTGAAATGTGATACTTTGTAAAGTTTATGTCGTAAGCGCATTATTGAAATCACGGTAACTTTTAATTTTTTCATATAATCGCCCATTTTCCAGCATGTAAGAGAATGTGAATAGAATTAAAATTTCACATTCTTCAGAATTCAAAACTGGTGTTCCAAAATTCTCCCGTATAGGAATGATTCAGTTCCATTTTCGAAATTCAAAATTACATGTCAAAACATATAATTTTACACACTTGAAAAGTTTTACATGGTTTTTGTATTATTAATTTATAATAATAAAAATATATAATAAAAATATATAAAATGGATCCTGTGCTGTTATTATTTAACGAAGAAAATAGACAAGCGAAAAATAAAAAGGAATTTAGATCTTCCTGATTCTATGTTAATTAAATATTTTGAATAAACTAACTTCATTGCAAAAACATTTTAAAATGAAAAACAAAATTTAAACTTATTAAATGTTTAAATTTTGAATGACATTCAACATAAAAAAAATTAATACTATTCCGTTTCAATTCTCCAAAAAGAGAATAACAGAAAACTATTACTTTATTCATTTTTATGAAGAATGTGTTTCGTATTTTAGACACCAATATACTTAATTCCCGTTCTCCTGTCACATTCCCATTTTGATAAAGCTGGGCGTATGACATGGTTATTCATATATTTCATGTGTCGCAAAAAAAATTTTCGCAAAAATTATTAATGAAGTTCGCAATAATCAATAATTCTAGGGTAAAAAGATAAAGGGTTTTTGAAAAATCATGACTTTTGAATGATCACAAATTCCTTTCGTAGAGATTATGAATCACCAATGGCAGTATCATTTTTCGGAGTATCAAAATCAGTATTTTATTTAAACTGTCAACTGTTTATTTATATTTGTTGGTTGCTATTTCAGTAAACAACTTTCATACGAAAGAAATATTTTTCGTAATTTGAAATTGGGAAAAAAAAAAACAATTCATAAAGGAATATTTTTAAAATTTCTTTTGTATGAAAGTTTTGCAGTTTTTTTAGTTTTTGAATATTTTTGAAAAATGAAAATAGAAATTTTTGGATAATATGAATTCATTTCCTTTCATATTAGCGTGTTAGAGTAACTCAAACAAAAAAAATTTAATACATTTCTTTAAATTGCTGTTATATGTGATCATTTCCCTCGTGGACTTTTGAGGATAATTTATTTCAACGAGCGTAATTTACGATTACTCGATTTAGTAATTCGTAATTGATAACTTGATATTCGTAATTTTCCGAATTTCAGAGCTACGAACGAAATTCATGATAGGGCTGTTTAATATATTTTTCTATAAATTTTCAAAATTCTATAAAGATGTAAGGATAAAAAAGATTCGACGCGTTCCTTATACTATTCACAAAAGAAGATTCTCCGATGTATAACTATTGGTTTCCTATCAAACCTAGTTTTGCACGCAAACTTAACAATATTTTCTAAGCAATGTAAGTAATAGTTCAATAAAATTGTAATATATACTAATTTCAAAATACAGTCATATTTTAATTTATATAAAAATTAGATATGAACCTCGTTTATAGATACGTATATGTTTCATAATACGTTAACCAAGTTAGTCTAATACGTATATCACGCGTAAAAGTTTTAAGTTTTCAGTTGAGAAAAAACCAACTAAAAAAAGGCGAATATTCAATTTTGACAAAGAACAAAAGTAACTTTTTTAAACACAATCAAAAGGGTTTGTGAAAAAAAAAAAATGAATTCCCTTTACATAACTTTTTTATTTTAATTATTTTATTTAAAACAGTAAAATTTAATTTTTATTCAAAAATAGTAAAATATTACTGTTGTATTTATATAATTAGTTTTTATTCAAAAATTAAATTTTATAGTTTTTTTTGCAAAATTTAAATTTTTCAATAATATTTGTGGCCATTTGCCAAAATTGCCTAGATCAAAATTTCAGGTTTCGAGTAAAATTAGTGAAAATTTTAAATCATACTCATGATTTCACAGTAATCATAAATTACGTTCGCAGTAAAAATTACCCTCAAAAGTCTACGAAAGGAATAATCACTAACAAGTAATTTAGAATAATCACTAACAAGTAATTTTTAAATTTTGAATTTTTTTGTTTGAGCTACTCTAACACAGCTACCATGAAAGGAAATGAACTCATATTGCCAAATTTTTTTTCTACTTTTCAAAAATAATAAAAAACTAACAAAGCTGTAAAACTTTCATACAAAAGGATACTTTTTAAAAATATTTTTCTGTATGAAAGTTGTTTACTGAAATATCAATAATCATTTGATAATTGAAATAAAATACTAATTTTGACACTCCGAAAAATGATACTGCCCTTGTTGATTCATAATCTCTATGAAAGAAATTTGTCAATATTCAAAAGTCTACATCGTAGTTATGTTCGTAATTCGTTAGATTCTACGAGTGGAATTCATGATAGAGCTAGAGATGTTTTTCCAAAGAATTATTTAAGTCAATTATTTTTAGAGATGTGATTCTTTGACTTTAAGTTCTTTAAAAATTTTCCGAATTAAACATGTACTGTTTTATGTTGAGTTAATCTAGGCAGTTTTTACCTTGGAACGGATAGAATTTAATTTTTTGATATTGTGTACAGTAACATAATGATATTATCTATTTATCGAACTTAAATATAATAGTTAAAAGAGGAAATAAGATAAAAACAAATAACGTACGGTAGAATTGATACTGGGAAGTCTTGAAGGATTTCCTCCACTTATTGATTGTGTTGTTAGCGAGCTTAAGGTTGTTGTTGATATATAACCACCATTATTACTTCCAACTATTGATGATGTTGCTGAACCGGACCCACCCAATCCTACTACGGCGGACGACGATGGTGTTATAGACGATGCTAAAGCTGAACCAAATGATAAAACTTGCTGTTGATTACTATGCTGATTATGACTATTTGAAGTTGATAAGGTTGTCGATGAACTAGTTGTTGTTATTTCTGTCATTTGATTATTATTATTATTTTGCGTTTTGTGTCCGTGTTGTTGTAGTTGCTGCTGTTGTTGATTTTGTTGATGATGGTGGTGGTGATGATGATGACTATTACTACCAGTTCCACTTGAATTATTTTGTTTGTTACCGCTGCCCTTTGGACGACCAGGACCTCTTGGAGTTGCCATTACTTGTGCTGTATGTTGAACTTGTGATAATATTGAAGATGATGATGGTATTGCAACTGATGTTGAACCTTGCAAAGATGATGATGATACAATTGACGTTTGATGCTGTTGCTGCTGTGTTGATGCTTGTATTGATGGTATGTTTATACTATTTGGATTGCCAATAAAAGATGTTATATTTTTTTGTTGATTACTATTAATGATGGCAGCACCTGCTGCAGTTATTGACGAATTGATTAATGTTGAATTTACTGGTGATGTAGCTGTTGAAGTCAATGAAGACGCTATTGCGGATGGTGTTGATGATGATGAAGTTATATCAATATCACAAACTTTATCTTTTTCTTCTACAACAAAAATTAATTTTTCTTTACTTAATTGTCGTGTTTTTAGATCACAACAATATAATATGTATTAAAAAAGTAAAAATAAAGAAATTAAAATATTCAAAATTTTCTTATACAATATAATAAGCAAAAATCGCATTTGCGGTAATTTTAATGTTTTTCAAATTTTACTGTCACCATGCTACTCAAAATATTGGAATATTTTATACTACTCTGAACAAACTAATTTCTACTATTTTTTTGTTTCAAAAATACAATTAATATTTTAATATCAAAAATATATTTAATATTATAATACATATAAAGTAAAAAATAAAATAGTTGCATAAGAAATTTTGAATCTCCGCGGAATGAAACAAACTCTAAGTGTGTATTCTTGCCAGATTTATAACAAATATAAACGAATTTTCGTCACAACAAAAAAAAACAACAAAACGTGCAGTACAATTAAAATCAAAACAGTTTTATTTATGCTGAATAAAGGATAATTAATTCAATTTCGCTCTTTTTGTATCCTTCTTATAATGATTGAAAATTAGTTTCAATTGAAATAAAATCATATTTGAATACTGTTAAAATAATTTAATTTCCTTCAAAAATCCCCGTTTCCATTAGATAAAAGTCACCATTAATATACTTTTTAGGAAATGAAAAGCTTTTGTTCTATGTGCTCGGAACATTATTGAGAATTAAATTAACGAAATTAGGTACATAAAAAGAATTTGACTACATAATGATATGTAAAGAAATTTCAAAAAAGGATTTCCAACTTTTAATAATTTAAGATAAAATTAAGTTCTATAAGTTGAGTAAATTAGTTAAAACTTGCAGAGTAAATTATTTTGACTTTTGTTGTGACAAGTTGTAGATTTTTGGTTGCTCATATTTTTATATTTTTGAGTTGTTTTATTTAGTTTTATTAATGTAAACAAAATATTTTTTTTACTCTAGTGTCGTGTTTTTGATCGTTTTTATTTTGTTAATTTTTTAATGTTACTTAATTATATGTGATCTTTTTTTTTCTTTTTGAATTTTGATTTTATTATTTTGTTCAGCGATTTGTTAATATTTAAAATATAGTTTTTTTATGTGTCCATTTCTGTTTTATTGGATAATTTCTGGATGACTCGTTTTATCTTGTTACTCCTATTTTTTGCCTTCAAATATTTTTCATTATTTTTGTTGAATATTTCATAATTTTTTTTTCCTTTATTTTTATATTATATATATTTTTTTTTTTTTTGTTTTTTACATGTATATTTTTTTTTCGAATAATTTTTTGGCGCCATTTTTGTTTTCAATTGTTATTATTTTATATTAATTTCTCGAGCGTTTTCTCTTGAGTGTTTTTCTTATCACAGTTATTCTTCTGTTGCCTTCTCGGTCGTTCTTTCCTTAATTTTTCACTCATTTTTATATTACTCTAATTTTTGTACACTATATTTCATTGACCCTTTCCTGGTTTATTGGCGGTTTTTACTTTTTTGGTCTGCTGGCCTTATTTCTTTTTTTTTTCTTTCTGATCAATAATTTATTCTTGTCGTTCTTATACTATATTTTGTTCTTATTTACATTTTTTGTTGGCCAATAATTTATTCTTGTTGTTCTTATCTTTTTTTTATTACTGGTGGTGGATAATGTCGGTTAAGTGTATGGGTGAGGGCTGTCGGCATGTTAGGGCCGATACAAATATGGTATGCTCGGGAATTTATGGCAGGGCTTTTCATTCAAAATGTCTTAACATTGGGGGCAGTGTTGCTGATGGGCTCGTGAGACTGCAGGTGTTTGTTGGTTTTGTTGTGATTGTAGGAAGGTTTCGTTGGGGGCGCTGTCCTTGCAATTGCTGAAGTTGGGTTCTGTTTTTAAAAAGGTTTCTAGGGATTTGCATAGTTTATGTGGGGCCTTTTCCGCGATTTCGGCGGAATTTGATGGGATTAGGATGTTTTCTCCAGTTGCTGATTCGCCGGGTTCTCCGGTGCCTGATGGGGATTGTGGATTGGTTGGTTTCACTTCGCTGGGCGATGGGTTGAGGCTTGTTATGTCTCTCACGGTGTCCAGGGCGCTTGGGACTGGTGCTTCTTCGCTTTCGCCTGGGAATGATTTGATGTCCTTGTCAAGATTCGGGTGGACCTGTGCGTTCGCCCGTTGCTCGTTCGGTGCTGGCTGGCTCGACCATGGAGCCTCCCTTGGAAGAATAGGTCTGATGGTAATCCTGTCATTTTTCTAGTGTTTTTGCCCCAGTTGATGAATATTGTCGATGCGCCTGTTGATCATTTTATTCTTGATGGTGTTGTTCTGGGTCTTGATTGCGTTCTGCGGGCCATGGAGAGGTTGGGTGGTAACTGGTCTCCTGGTCCTGATGGGATTCCGGGTGTGGTGTTGTATAGATGCGCCGATAGCCTTGTTAGTCCCCTTACTTCTTTATTTAACCTATCGTTGGTGTCTTCTATTGTTCCTTTGGCTTGGAAGGAGTCGTACGTTGTTCCGGTTCATAAAAAAGGTTTACGTTCTTCGGTTGGTAATTATAAGCCTATTGTTAAGATATCGGCTATTCCGAAGCTTTTTGAAGGTATCGAAGGCCTTCGATACTATTCCGCATCAGGTTATACTGAGAAAGTTGGCTGGCGTGGGTTTTTCTCTTCGTAACTTGATGTGGTGTCTTGCAGATTTTATCGGGCTTCTTTCCGTTCTGCTCTGTCTGATGTCTACTGTGCCGGGTCGGGTGTATCGCAAGGTAGCCATTGGGATCCCATACTTTTTTTAGTTGCAACTAACGATGCTTTTGGTTCGGTTGTGGGTTCCACGCTTTCTAGTTTCTGGGACGGTTCGGACAGAGGTTGATCGTCTAGAGTTACAGAGGGATTTGTATAGTTTTTGGGACTGGTGTTGGGTCAATGGCTTGGAACTTAACATTGGTAAGTGGCGGGAGGAAGTCTTCTATTGTCCGCCTTGGTGGGGTGGTATTGGGGAGGGTGAGCACTTCTTGTGATTTTGGGGTTATGCTTGATCGCAGGCTGGATTTTGGTTCACATTTGAATATAATCCTTGATAGGGCTAACTCGAAGCTGGGTTTCGTAATGAGGTGGGCTAGAGAGTTTATGGATCCATATGTTGCGAAGCATTTGTATGTGTCCTTTGTTAGGCCAATTCTCTAGTATGCTTGTCAGGTTTTGGCGCCCTTTCGTGTTGTGGATGTTTCAGAGGAAATTTTTGCGTTTTGCTTTGAGGGGTTTGGGCTAGTCTGATCCTTTTAGGTTTTCGTCGTATGAGGCTAGGCTGATGTTGATTGATTTGCAGGGCACGTAGGGCACGTAGGGTAATTGGGGGCACGTAGGGTTGTTGCTGACATAGTGTTTATCCATCAACTCGTGTCGGGGGCCATTGTGGCTCCTTTTTTGTTGAGGCAGGTTTCTATTAGGGATAACATAAGGAATCTTAGATCTGTGGAGTTGTACAAAGTTCGCTATCGCTCTACTGGTTATAGTAGGAGTGAGCCGGTTACTAGAATGTTGCGTTCTGTTAATTCTAATTCTTTGGTATTTGATCCTGCTATAAGGAAGGGTACTCTTAAATCTGAACTTTGGTCTAATTTATTTTTGTAGTATTTTTTTTCGTTTCTTCTTGTTCTTGTCTTTCTCTCTTGTCTTTATTTATCTATATGATCCATATTATCTATACGTATTTATTATCTGGTGGTTGGTTTTTTGGTTTGTTTTGTTAATCGTTATGGTTTTTTGTTGTTATTATTATTATTAAGTTGTACTAGTCATTTATTTTACTTGCCCTTTTGCTCTTCCCTCTTTTTTCCCTTTCTCTTCTCTTCCCTTTTTTCCCTCCCTTTTCTATAAATGATGACGCTGCTCCTTGATAACTGATAGTTGCATAATTGCGACTAAATGATGTTTTTATTGGCGCCTGTTGGCGATATGCTTAATGTTTGATCTAAGCAATGGATGTATGATATATTTAAATTATATAGTCAAATTTCAATATTCTGAATTTGAATTAGAAAATTAAAAAAATAGGTCTGGAAAGACATTTTCAATCTTCTAAAAACCTTTAAATTGCCAATTTTTGTTTATTATATACATAAATAAATAACATTATATGCACGTACAACATAGAAAGGAAAAAAGCTTACTTGATTTTTGTTTTGGTGGTCTTGTTACTAATGGTGATATTCTAGCTAACTCTGGTGATAATTCTCTTTTATATATATTTTGATCAATTGAGATTGACGTTGCTAATGTTATTGACGACGATGCTGTTGTCCCCTCAGATGCTTCACCAACTTGAGCATTTGAGATACTACTATTTTCAACAGTAGCACTGTTGCTCTTATTATCGTTACTAGTTATTTTGTTACTGCTGTTGTTAATTAACTCATTTTTATAATGTTTTTCAATATTTTCATTGAACTTTACGGAACTTTTTTTAGTGTTGTTATCATTTGAATCAGTTGGTGCTGGTGATTTTTTGTTACCTAATATTAGAGTTAATTTTGGTATAGAATTATTACTATTGTTTAAATTTTCAGTATCAATATTTTTTAATGAACTGCTTTTATTGCTAGCATTCATGTTGTTACTATTAGTTTTATTATCTTTTATATTATCATTTGCATTACTTTTACTATTATTACTATTTATAATATTATTATTGACATAATCATTACTATTAGAATTAAAAATCTTATTGTTACTTTTATTATCGTTATAAATGTTATTATTATCATAGCTGATATTTTTATTAAAATTAAGCTTTTTACTATTAAAATTTTCGCTATTACTTGTATTTTCATTATTATTATTGTTATTTTTGATGTTGATATTATTATTATTGTTTTTATTTATACCATCATTATTGAGATTAATTTTATTAATATGATTGTTATTGTTATTAGAAATTATACCAGATGTTGCAGTGTTCGCTAATGTTCCAACTGCTGATGAAATAATTGTTTTCATAGTATCTTCAATACCACTGTATTTTGATTTCATCTGCGCGTTTGAATCAAAACTTGCACTGTTATCATGAACATTGACTGATGATCCACCGCTTGTTATGGAAGTCGTTGATCCAACAGACAATTGTCTTAACTTCTCCTTCTTTTTCTCCTTTTTCTGTTTTTTCAATTTCTCTTTATACCTAATACGATCTTCCTTGTCCTTCTTTTTATCAGATTTTTCTTTGTTTTTAGATTTATCTTTTTTTTCTTTTTTCTTTTTAATTTTTCCATCTTTAGTTTTTTTACTCTTTTTATGGTGCTCTTTTCTTTTTTCATGCTTTTGAACTGATAACGTATCAGGATTATTGACACCAATTATTTGATTAACCGCATTAAATAAATTATTTTCATTATTATGGTCATTATTGACATTTTCTATTTTATTTTGATTATTATTATTTTTATGAATATCTGTGTTACTGTTATTATTACTATTGTTATTATTGATATTATTTGATTCATTATTATTATATACTGATGTAGCTATTGTGGATGTGATTGTATTAGAAAATATTGTACGATCTGATTGACATCTGACCCGTAAATCGTTATTTATATTTTTTGATAATAATGAATCATTATTAGCTATTGTTGCTGTTTCGTTACGATTTTCAGATAGACATAATAAAGATTCTTCTTTTAGTATAGATGTTGTCACTAATTGTGAATTTTGATTGATACCTGCATGTGAGTCTTTGTTAAATGACTGCGACAATTTTTCTTCAGAATCCGAACGAATTTTTTCATCATCACTTATTTCAATAGGTGTATCATTGATGTTGTTACCTAATTCATTAAAGTTTATCATAGGGTTATTGCTATTACTGTTTTGTAATGTAGATGCTACTTTGTTAGAAAAATTTTTTCCAACTTGATAATTTGAATGACGTATATCTGTAAATTTTTGTAGAGTTATTGAATCTAAGTTTGAAATAGATGATACTGTTTTTAATTTATTTGGTTTATTACCCTTTGTTGTTGATAATTTAAAATTTTGTATCATAGATTCTGGTACCAATGGTGCAACAGTACAATAATTTTTTTCCAAATCTAAATTATTCAATTGTTGTGTAGCAATATTTTTGCTTGAAGACGTATTGGAACTATTATTGGAATTAAGTTTATTGATTTCATCTAATGTGGAATTAGTCGATTTCAATGAATTGAATTTTGAAAATGGCATAATGGGTAAAAGTTTATCGACTAAATTTGCAGTTGCTAACGGTGGAAAAATACCTGGACTGGGAATTAAGCCAGGACGAGAGGGAAATGTGTACGGAAATGGTGGATATGGAAAGGTTAAAGAGGCTAATGTGTTTGCAGCAGCTGACATTTGAGGTTGTTGAGTTGTTTTCTGTGGCAATTTTTGTAAATTTGGAGAATTATTTGTTGATTGGGATTGCAATATTAAATTATTATTTGTATTTGATTGTAACACCGATGGAGCTGGTTGCATTACCGTATCAATCTTCATTAATTTTTTATTAATAGCTGCCAAATTTTCTGCTGAACGTACAATAGGTTGTGATATATCTCTTGATGACGATGAATTTGATGGTGTTGCAATTCCAGATGATGCAGCACCAACTGATGACGATGCTGCCGCTGCAACGACAGCTAAGTTTTGAATGTATTGTTGATGAGCAGCAGCCAAAACTGCTGCAGCAGCAGAAGATTGTTGTTGATTTAGATTTGATTGGATGTTCCTTTTCTCTTTTAATTTCGGCTTTTTTCGCTCCTTTTTCATTAGTTTTGTAGCAATTGCATATTGTTGTTGAATACGCATCTGTTGTTCTAAATAAAATTCTTGCAAATCATTTTTATTGCTAGAATTTGTATTAGACGATCCAATATTTGCCGAATTCAATAGTCCGCAGTGAGCAATTTTATCACTAGAGAGATTTAATGGCTCATTTTGTTGTCGTTTTCTTTTTAATTTCTTTTCTATTTTAGTTAGCCCTTGATTATTAGATGAAGATGAAACCATTAACATAGGGGGATTCATACCAACAATTTGTTTAGAACTAACATTGTTTTCATTGTTTTGCTGTTGAAATTGCAATCTTGGGGAAATATTATCAGATTTTACAGATACATTTTTGTTATGACTATTATTGTTACCATCATTGGTGGCTTTATTATTACTACTGTTTATGTTATTGTCATCATCATCAATACAAATAATTTGATCTGTATCAGTAGGTAATTTCAGTGGTCTACCAATCTGAGTTATTATAGTACCAGATTTTGAAACATTTTGCACGTTCATTGAGGCCAGATTTGGTGGTGAAATACTATCTGGCGCAGGAGTTATCGTTGTTCCAGAAGGTAAATGAATAAACTGATCTAACGGTATTGTCGTTGATTCATTTATTTCATTTTTTATAGAGGGAAGCTTTTTATAAGAATTAATTTTAGTTTTATCAGATTCATTTATTATTTTTATATCATCAATATTTTGTTTGTTTGGTAAGTTAACCGCCGAGATGTTTGAATTTGTTGAGGTTTTCAACGAAGAAGTCGATCTAGAAAATGTTGAAGGTAAGATTGAACCTGTTTGATTAAATATATTTGATTGTAACTCATTTATGTTACTTCCAGCAACGGCCAATTGAGCAACTAAAGCTTGCTGTTGTGCTATAATGCTTGTTGACTTTATTAGTGGATCAATCGCATTTTGTTGTTTTTGTTTGGTTTGGTTCAGCATACCAGTTAAAGTTTGTTTATCAAGCATAACATCGTTACTTGAATTGTTATTAAATGATGTATTACTAACAGAACTAACACCATTTTTTATATTGGAATTGAGAATTGATGTTTCTTCTTTGGAATTTTTCCTACTCTGTATTATACTTAATAATAGTTCCCGTTGTTTTCTCAATGTCCCTTTATGTTTCTTTGATAACTTCAAATTCCTTCCATCAGGTAAAACAACAGAAGAGGGCATTATTAAATCGGAGTCAGATATAATAGTATCAGTTGTTTTTGATCCAGATTGCGCAGTAAATGATTCAATGGTAGTATCTCCAGGATTTGGATGATTTTGTTGTTGCTTTTTTTGCTTTTGAAGTTTCAGCAGTTGTTTCTGTTGTTGTTTAAATATTTTTTGTTGCTGTTTTTGTAAAAATAATTGCTTTGACACAGGAATACTATTGTTAATTTTTTCGAGCTTTCTATGTTCCTTTTCCAGTGCTAACAAATTTTTTCGTTTTAATTTCTTTAAATATTTGGAATCACAGTTTGAGTATTGCGATTTTTCAATGGATTTATTATTATTTGTACTAGTATTCAAATTTGGTGTGGAAACATTTGGCGATTGTATATTGTTTTTTTCTAGTTTTAATAAATTTTGATGACCAGATTTAATTAATAAACTCGTTGATGTTGTAGATGAAACTTGTGGTATTTGTTTACTTGTATTTATTACCTTAGAATTTGTCCCTCCAATGGTGGACAATAATGGAGGTGATGGTGATCGTACAACACGTGGCTCTAAAGAGAAAGTAATTTAAAAAAATCAATTTAACACTCAAAAAAAGTTTAATATTCATTAAATAACTATTAAAATTTGAAAATGTTAACTCAATTTTTTTTAAAACATTCGTTAATATGGGCGCTTAATCAATTTTATAGTAGCACTACGGTATACATTTTCGATTATACATACATGTTCAAAATGTATAAAATTTATAGAATTTTTCATTTTTAAAACTTTTCTACTATTCAAAATTTATTTATTTTTTGATTATGTAGAATTTAGCGGCTATTATTAATTCCTAAAAGCTTGCATCAACTGTTAAATTTTAAACCCGCGATCAGATGTATATTTACAGGGATATTAAAACGAACACATTGTATGTGATGTGTCTACTTGAAAATTACGACAGACTTTTACGTAATTATTTTGCTAAAGTATAAAAATTTAAAAAATAGTTCAACTCTCCGTTTACATTACACTAATGCAAAATACAAAAAATTCCCTTAGCTAAGAGTTATAGATTCTTATTTTTATACACATAGGATTTTTTGGGACTGGGAAAGTGCACCCAATAGATTTTATTATAATGTATTTTTAAATGCGGGACTTTCTTATTTTTCGTGTATAAAGTATATGGAGTAATAATATGAATTTAAAAAGCGGGACTTTCTGTTTTGCAATTCATTTCACTACAAGATGGTAAAAGTGGTACATATGTCTAAATGATGTTAAAATAAACTAAAAATAATTATAAAATATATTTAATTTTAAAAAATAATAAATATAAATTTTAAAAAGATTAAAATATTAAAAAAAATTAAATTTGTAATTAATAATACTCAATGAATGGCATAAATATAAATTATGGATTTTTTATTTTTATTTCAATCTTGGCTTTATAAATTTAAAAGACATACATATTTCCTACGAATATACATACACACGAACAGGTTCATTCATATAGTATGAATCAGTAAGCGCACATCGTTTATATTGCCGCTTGAATACTTGACTTGAAATCAACTGGACGTTCAAGCTGCGTTTTTATTTTTAGTTATTAAATTTCAAATCATTATTAACATTTCAAGTTAAATATATAAGCAAAATTAAGTTGAGTGAAGCCAACTTTAAGTCAAGTAACGTTTATATAGTCATAAAATAGGCTTCAATTATGTACGCTTAAAGCAAATATGTAAAAGGGATATAATATATCCCTACATCATACTTTGTAGATAAAATTCATATCTATTGCTTTTATACATTCTAATGTCTTTTATGAAATGAAAAATAACACATTATAAATAAAAAGATTAATTTAATACTTCATATTTAAAATAAAAATGACAAAATTTTTACCTAATTTTATCAATTTAATTTTTTTTCAGTTCGCTATTTTTTGTACACTCGTTTCGTTCCTTTCTTGCCTACATAACTTTTATTACTATCTATTTCTTAATAAAAATAAAATATTTTGAGAATTTTGGAGATGGCATGCAAATGCAAACTAACGATTTGGAAGTGGAACGAATCGATCTACTTCTTAAATACGTACACTTTGTTGTAAACAATAAAATGAACTGTAAAAAAGATCGTCATTTTTGATCGTTGATTTCCGGAGGTAAACTTAAATTAAAGAGTGGATGTACGTTTAAATTTATTTTCTTACGAAAATAAGAGTCGTTTATTTCAACTATTAAACTTCTAACGTCATGCAACATTACAACCCATTTAAATGCGACCTTTGCATCATTGCTTTATAGTCACCAAATTGTTTGTTTATTATTTGTGACTTCTGTTGCCATAATTTAAGCAATGTATGTATCCAGTAGATAGATTAAACAAGTTCTTTAAAATATTAGTAGCATGATTTTTGTTTATTGGAATAATATAACGCGTTATTTTAATTTAATATACATTCTTCAAAATATATTAATTGAATCCAAATTTCATTTTAAAATGAGATCTAATAAAATGGTTTTTGTTTGCGCTTAGTTTATTCGCGAAAGTGGCAACATTGAAAGTAGTAATAATAATCTTTTCGTAAATTTTAACTCATTTACACTTTTCTTACTAATTAAAGTTTAATTTATGCACAAAACGAGGTAATTTATGCATACCTGTAATCATTGGTATTTTGGAATCTGGTAGTTTTCCTTCGCGTGCTGGTGAAATAAAACCTGAGGACGTCATCATTACACTGCTTATTTCTCTTGTAGGTCTCCCCTCTGTTTCATGTGGTAACCTTGGTCTAATAAATTTACTTAAATTTTGTCCATTTATTGTGCCGACATTTGATGTTGTTATACTGCTAACATTTTGAGCAGCAGACAGCGTGTTTTGAGATGGTGTCATTATTTTAGAAGTTTCTGTGTTTAAAATAGCAGAATCAACCGTAGAAATTACACAAGTTGAAGTTGTAGTTACAAGGCTAGAAGAAACAGGAGATTTCACCAAATTATTTGGAGCACTTTTAGAACCAAAATCATTTTCAGTTTTTGTTGTTGCAGCACTTGCTTCAATTGCCAATGTATTTTCATTAATAGATGCTGTGTTTATTAAACTTTCTTTTGTATTTGTAGATTCTTTATCATTATCAATATTTTCACCAGTTACATTTTCGATATCAAGTTTAATATTATTATTGCTAGTATTCATATGTTGGTCATTTTCACTATGTTTAAAATTGTTTTCATTATCACTTTTATTTAACTCATCATTTTTGTTTTCAATTTTATTTGAATTGATTTCTATGATATTGTCAGTTGTTGTATCGCATATTTCTAATTGTTTTTCCAGTGTTTCTAAAAAAAGCAAAGTAAAATTTTAATGATATCGTAATTATTAATAAAAATTGAAACAAATAAAAGTTATCATTGAACCAAGATAATATTCATTATTTTAAATGTAATCAGATAATAAGACAGTGACAGAACTGTAATATTTGCCCATAGCATCAAAATTTGCTTGAATAAATTTACTCATACGTTTTGTCATTTATTTTGATACTAAATACTTTTTTTCTTATATGTTAATTTTTGACATATTATAATTTTCTCTTTGTAATATGCTATTTTTTCGGAAATTACATAACTTTTCAACTAAATGTTTTAATTTACTAATTTTAGGCAATATTAAAAATGTAATATAACGAAAATTTGCTTTATCATTGCATATTATAAATTGCATTACATTAATTTTTTATATTCTTTCTTTAATTAATAAAAAATTTTACTGTAAAATAATGATATTCTTTTTATAATAATATGATATTATTTTTTCATTAATTTTGCTGTATGGTAATACAATAACAAAGATTGTAGTCATTAATATTCACTTGTTCCAAAAGTTAATTTGATTTTGCTAATGTGTATGAAATAAGATTTTTATAATAAGATTGTTACTTTAATGCTATTGTTTAATGTATTCTTTTACTTGAAATAAATGTTTTCTTTATTTACCTTCTTCTCTTTCTGGATAAATTGGTGGCAAATGTTCAGGTATATACATTGGTCGTGTTATAACTTCTTTACTTCCGGGTTTTAAAAAATTTAAATTAGAATCCTTATGAACCGGAAATTTTGGTATATCAATATTACATGGTACAGGTTGTACATAGTTAACGTATTCTTCTATTTCATTAAGATTTATATTTAGTTCACGGAAAGCTAATCCAACATCATCTAAGTTTGGTTCAATACGATTATCTCATAGTTTTAAAAAGAAATAAAAATAAATTATTAATTAATTTAAAAGCAATACAAACAAAAAACTATACTAAAATTTTAAAAAAAAATTAAAATATTATAAAAAGTTTAATAGAATTTAGTTAAAAAAAAGCAATTGTATTCACTTACTTGAAAATTTTATACTTTGTTAACCAAACAAAAAAAAAGGAAAAATGTTAAGCTCGCTAAAAGACACATTTGGATTATAGTTCAATGTGAATTCGTCTTCAGAATCTCAATATAAGACGTAAATTCTGTTGATATATAATTTAAGGTTGAAATAAAAGCTACCAATATTTGAGTGATACCAACTTTTCTATAGATATCGAGATAAGAATGAGGGGTCGGATTCTAATAAGAGTTTGGACTTAAAACAAAAAAATATCAATAATACATAATGAAAGAACCTTTTTCGGAAATATCGTTTACTCGATCGAAAATATTATAATTTTCTTCGATATTTTCAAAATTTATAGTATTTTAATATTAAACATTTTAAATGACATTTTAAATGTTCCCCAAATCATTAAATTTATATTAAATATGGAATTATAAAAAATTAATGTAAAAAATTTGAGACAATTTAAACCTTTTAAAAAAATTAACTTTTTAAAAATAGTAGAGCTTTCATACTAGTTTTGTTTAATTTTTGCTAACCTGTGCATAAATAGAAAATTAAAATTTGAGTTTTGGAAAAAATAGTTTCATATATGTATACTATTTTTAGTTTATAGAATAATTTTATTTTTTTAAATATTTTTGTATACAAACAAAAACACAATTTTATCCGAAGAAAATCAGAAATTTGATAAAAATTTCTGATTTTCAAATGGTTTGTGGCAAATTTTAAATATGATATGTAATTAAAGGTATATGTAATTAAAGGTATATAGTAGAGAAATTGATTTTGAATAAATACCCATAAAAAACATGTATCAATATGTCGATCTATCACAATCTTAACAAAAAACAAAACAAAATATTGAAACTCTCAAGGCTACGCTTTCACATAGTAAATAGAAGCAAAATTTATGAAATTTTTTTTAACATTCTTCCAGAGCCTTTATATCTCACAAGGCTTTCAGCCGTAGTTCTTGCAATAAGTTCATACTCGTAATTTAAAAAACCTAATTCCTACATACATTATACATTGGTTAGCTTTACATATTAACAAAGGATACATTATAAATTAATTTTGCAAATAATTAAATATTCTACAAAAATTTTTAACTTAAACCTAATTTAAATCAATATCGCATTAGCAATCATCACAGCAGTTAGATCTTGTCAGGTTGGTTTTTGACAACAATGTTTATTTTGTTTTGATAAATAGAATTTTGCATGTAAGTTAGTAATTTATTTTCGTAACTTATTACTTTTTTTTATAATATGTAGATTAGGTAGGCAGGCATATAGGTATTTAATTATCATATATGTATATCAATAATAACTCAAATATTGAATGAATAATCTTAGAGATTTTGATTTTGAAATCTAATATATTTTTACATGAAGATTGAACAAGTGTAGGTAACTGCTTATTAAAACTTTATTGTATCTTTTTGCTACAAGTAGATACAAATATTTTTAATATTTTTTTTAAATAGATTGATAGGTAGGTTTACATTTGAGAACATTTTAATGGAGAATACAAAGGAAATGAAATTTATTGAAGAAGAAAGCAAAAAACAAAATTAAATTCAAAGCACAATTATGACAAAAATTACTATACAAATTGATTTTTTTTTGTTTTTACTTACATAATTCTGTATACCTTATAACATTTCTAGTTATTTCATGTAAATATTTGTGTAAAATATCAACTAAAAGTTCAAGTGGCGTTGTCTGAATTGAATGCCATCCTATTGTTTGGCATATTTGAGCCACAATTACACGAAGGACTTGCTGTATGTATGGATCAATCATTGTTTTATTATTAAATTCTTTAAAAATATCCTCTAATTAACAAGATTATCTGTTAGATTTTTTTTTCCTTTTTTATGTTCTTCAAATTTCATTTAATTTCTTTCTTCTATAAGAGGTGATTGAAAATAATTATGCACTATATTTTTTTTGTCTTTTGTTTCGCCATTTTTTCTCTCTGAAAGTTAATATTTACGTCTTTAAAATATGTATATTAAAAAAAATAAATAACAAACACAATAATATCTTTTTTTTCATTATACGAAAAACTAAAAACTTTTTCTCATAGCTACAACAATAATGAAAAAGTGGCAAGTACTTATGTGTACTTCTAGGGTATATATACATACAAATTTTTGGGGAATTTTTATACAAAAAAAAAATTCAATTATCTATAAAATTATTTACAATTTGAAGTTTAGAAAATTTTGTACACACTATATTTAAAAAAATTTTAATTTTTCATACTTAATTAGGTTTTTATTTACATAAAAATAAAATTAATATTAAAAATAAAATTTACAACAATTAACCATATTTTTTTTATTTTTCACTTCTTCACAATAATTTTTCAACATGACAGCTTCAAATTTCATTTTGTCATTTCTTCTGTTTTTAGAATTTTTTTTTTAGAAAAAAATCCCAACAAACCTAATTGACAATTCGTATTTTGACAATCAAAAATTTTTGGCAATGAAATTAATGCTTATGACGGCTGTTGGCGATTTTAACGTGCAATTAGAAAAGGTTATAAATATTAGCTTAAATTTTATTCTTCATTCTTCTTTATACCAGGTTTATAAGATAAAACATAAAGAAGTACTAATGTCTTTACATCTAACAAATCCCAATACTCAATTTTTTTTACGAAATATTACGAATTTTCGACTTCGTTCCTGTTTTTTTCTTTAAATGCTACTGATCGTGTCATATTTCTTATTACATTTTTTTCTTTTTTTTACGTAAAAAACAGTTTAATATTTTATTAAAATTTTATTTAAAATTTCAGGATATTATACACATTTTTTAAAAAGCTTCCCGTTTAAATTCTATTGCACGAAAAAGAAGGAAAGGTAGGAGGAAAGAAAAAATTATAACAAATATCAAATTCATATTTCAGTATGGTTTCAAATGTTAATGAGGAAGGATGTATGATTTTTCATGCACATTTTGTATTTCCCAATAAGCTAAGTAGAGTAGTGTCGGCTAACAAATATGTTAGTAAAAGTAATATAGGTTGACACATTTAAACAATTTGAATTATCATTTCGGTTATTTATACGTTACTTATAAAATTGTTTCAAATAATTTTAGTTAGTTTTTAAGTTATTAAAAATAAATATATATGTACCTACTTCCAATCAATTTTTTTTAAATAATTATTTTAAAACTATTTCGAACATGTTATATTGAGTGCTTCAAAAATTTTGTTGTGCTCTTCTTTCATATTTTATTACCAGGTAAACAAGAGCAATCTATTTATAAAATGGCCCTGCCTGTGTATGAATCTTAATAGTAAACGCAAACGGACAAAAATTTACATCAGTACCTACTACCTGTCATTTTACAATCGGAGTTTTTGAGTCATTGCTATTCGTAAGATACTATTTATTTCAAAAATCAAAAAGATACTCGAATCCGGTCATAAATATATTATTGTCTTTTCCAAAACCTTTCAAATATTTTTCTACTTAGGTAATATATTAAGCTTTAAATTTTTTTCTCACAAATGGAGGTAAAATTTAGAAATGTATATAAAATTTGTATTTAAAAAATAATATTTGATTGTATTTTAGATATTATTTTCTAATTCTCCACAGTTACTTCCCATATCTTGAGTTAACTTACCCTATGAAAAAAAACCTGTTCACTTAAAAATAATGAAATACTTTCAGTAACATATAAAACATTGAAGGTGAAGGTTGTGCTTGTTGTTTTTCCGCTGTTTCAAGAATTTTAAAATAATTCTGAATGAAAATATTAATATATTTTCTTGATTTTTCAATTATATTTTTAGAATTTTACCTGCTTTATAATAAGTATAAATTTATTTTAATATTTCTTCTCAAAAAATAGTTACTTCGATTTAAAAAAACCCATATAAAATAAGGTCGTGCTTTCAAGTTTCTCTCTGAGCATTGGGGCTTGTTAGATAAAGACATTAGACGATTACTAACGAGGGGCTGGAGGTGGAAAAAAACTTATATTACTGAAAGCTACAAAAGTTTCTGACTTCAACAACCTATTTTATAGAAAAAACCGATAACAAAAATTTGAAGAAAAAAAAGGGCTTTAGGTAACGGTTAATTTTAGCAGACATTTCTTTTATTTGAATATTGAATCCAGTTATGCCATGCCGCTGTAAAAAAAGGCCAGCCGCTACTTTTTTGTGTTTGAAAAATTTTAAACACTTTCCTGTTTAGTTCAATATTGATAATAATAAATTGTATTGATTATTGTAAATATATCTTAAATTTTATGGTTTTAGTATTGTTACGGAAAAATTGTAAATGGCATAAAGACAAATTAGAAAGGAATAAAAAATCCCGAAAATCTGCTAAAGAAACTATAAGTAAGTATGCGAAAAAAACAAAAGAAATTTAATCTAAATAAAAACGCAACAACATTACATAAAATTTTAAATGTGTCGCATGTGTAAATGAATGTCTTAAAAATTTAATACGTTTTTTAATTGAATTAAATTTTTTCGTTTTACATCACATTTGAGGTAGTAAATTTTATATATTTTCACTATTATTCCATTTTAAAATCCGTTCAACACGGTTAACCGCCGGGACTATTATATTTAATAAAATGAAGAAATATCATATTTATCTTTTCAGATATCATTATTATTAATAACAGTGCTAATATGAAGTTAAAATTTCAATAAATTAAATTAAGCTATTAAATCAGAAATATAAGTATATGTATAATAGAGATATGTTGTTAAAAAAATTTCAAAAATTTCGTTAAAGTTTCAAAAAGTTTTCAATATTCATTTGATGTTAAATACTTGACTAGGGAATTTTTAAACATTAGCAAACGAGTTTCATTTCTTATTATATCTGGCAAATCATTGAACATCTGCAAACCCTTGTAAAATAAATTATTTTATGTGTTATGCCTGCGTAACAGTGGTAATCTGAACAAGGATGCTGACCTTAGTGTATAATTTGTCGATTCACTCACATAATTAAGACAACGACACAAGTATTGAGGCAGCAAGTTATGTTTCATTTTAAATACAAACACAAGGACATTGAAGTTTAAACATTGGCTAACTGACATCCACTTAACATCTGTTAGCATACTTTAAATACTTGTCCTCCTTTCACGCTTTAAAATTACACGTATCGCTTTGTTTTGTAGAATTTGAAGCCGGTCTTTTTTACTTTCATTTGAAAGGAATAATACTGAAGCACAATAATCAAAATGAGGCAGAATTGTTGTGTTGTACATAGTTTTCGCACATTTCTCAGTCAATTCTTATTCTTCTTATTCTACCTAGATAACCTATTTTTCTTGCAATTTTCGAAGAAATATAATCTACATGGCTATCGAAACTTAATTTGTCGTCAATAATTACTCCTAAATATTTTATCGAGTTCACTCTTTCTATTTGACAATCACTAACAGAAATATTACCTAAGCCACCAGTTCTGTCGTTAATTATCATGCATTTTGTTTTGTCAAAATTTAATTTTAATTTATTCATACACAGCCACGAAAATAAATTATTCAAGTCATCATTAATCTTGCTACAACATGTATCCAAATTACGATTAACAACATAGAGCAACGCATCATCAGCAAACAATGTATCGATTTTTTAAACAATGTATCGATTTTTCATCTTGACAGAACACTGCTATAGTCCCATCCTTTTTTTCTGTCACTGCATTAATGTTGAAGTTTACTGGGTCAACATGACGTTTCAAGTTTGTTTTGGTTTCTGCCGATGTTTGAACTTTTTTTGGTTTTATTAATAGAACTGGGTCTTTTTTAACAATATCCGCGTAAGTAAATTTATTTTCACTCTTATTAGCGTATGTAGCTTTAAATATTCACTAAAAGTTTCACCATCATCCATAACTTTATCAATTCCTTTTTTCATATCATCACACATAATATTTTTTATACACCAGGTCCTTAAAATTCAAACATTCATCGCAGTGGAAATTAATATTTGATTTTTCCGCCAACAATTTAATATCATAATCAATCAAATTGTAGCAACTAGGATGAAAATATCTACCACAAGATCCAATGCAGTTGATTTTTGCTGAACTTGATCTCAAACTCCTATGACATTTTCCGCAATTCGTTTTTGTTATGAATATTCAACCAATTCAAAAAAAGTGTTAAACTTTCTTTAAAATAAATAAGTGCAGAATGAAGTGGTATACGGTGTATAATAATAATAAAAAGCAAAGTGAGATTTATAATAATAATAAAAAGCACAGATATTTTGTTTCAAATCCGCAATCCAGTGTATTTATATTCCATCTAAGCGATTCCGCTATTCAAAATAAATTTTAAAATCCGCTAATGTACTTTTATAGAATTGCTTTTTAATAAAATTATAACATATACAATGAAAAACGATGCCAATATGTTAAAAAATAAGTTGCTTCTTGCGTTAAATTCAATTTTCCAATAAAATTTATGTTCTTTGAGCTTATTAAGATTTAATATTATTTTTTAGTTGAAAAAAACAAAACTTTAAGCAAAAAAAATGATGCAATCGTTACTAACCGCTAACTTTTATTATGTTGGCTGGATGAAGTAGAGATCGGGTGCAGGCGCCTTATGTGATAAAATTTTTTCGATTAAACAAAAAGGCAAAATCTGCAAAACAGAGGTCAGACCAGCCCTTATGTATGGAACGGATCACTGAACAGCAAACAAAACACATGAACAAACCAACATGTCGCCGAAATGAGAATATTAAGGTGGTCCGCAGGCGTGACGAAATTAGACAAGGTACGAAACGAACACTTCAGGGATACCTTCAAGGTTGCAGACATTAAAGAAAAACTATAAGAAAAGCGACTAAGATGGTAAGGTCACGAGACGAAGAGCACGCTGTTAGAAAGGCCCTTGAAAGATAGAAATAAAAAGCAAGAAAGGCAAGAAAGAAACAAAATATTGTAAATAAACAAATATATCAAAAACATCGAAATGAAATTAAATTAAATTAAGTTAGGTAAAATTTTTTTTACTTTTATTTTTATTACAACAAAATTTATTTTTCATAATATGTTATTTTTATTTCATAAAAGTTAGGTAAAAATATTCGAATGTATGAAAGCAATAGATATAAGTTTAAAATTTCATATTTTATTATATTGTACATATGTATGTATATAATCATAAACTCCTATAATGTACAGGACATGTTAACATTTTTGCATTTATCTGTGTAGGATAAGTTTTTCCAAATAAAAAGGCTACAGAATTTCTTTAGTCCACATATAAATTTCGTACGGAAGGCTGTATCGCTGAGCGGTAAAATAATTTATTTGTTTG